GGGTGCAGAACATAGGGTGCAGAACATAGGGTGCAGAACATAGGGTGCAGAACATAGGGTGCAGAACATAGGGTGCAGAACATAGGGTGCAGAACATAGGGTGCAGAACATAGGGTGCAGAACATAGGGTGCAGAACATAGGGTGCAGAACATAGGGTGCAGAACATAGGGTGCAGAACATAGGGCGCAGAGCATAGGGCGCAGAACATAGGGTGCAGAACATAGGGCGCAGAGCATAGGGCGCAGAGCATAGGGCGCAGAACATAGGGCGCAGAAGCATAGGGCGCAGAACATAGGGCGCAGAACATAGGGCGCAGAACATAGGGCGCAGAACATAGGGCGCAGAACATAGGGCGCAGAACATAGGGCGCAGAACATAGGGGGCAGAACATAGGGTGCAGAACATAGGGTGCAGAACATAGGGTGCAGAACATAGGGTGCAGAACATAGGGTGCAGAACATAGGGTGCAGAACATAGGGTGCAGAACATAGGGTGCAGAACATAGGGTGCAGAACATAGGGTGCAGAACATAGGGTGCAGAACATAGGGTGCAGAACATAGGGTGCAGAACATAGGGTGCAGAACATAGGGTGCAGAACATAGGGTGCAGAACATAGGGTGCAGAACATAGGGTGCAGAACCATAGGGTGCAGAACATAGGGTGCAGAACATAGGGTGCAGAACATAGGGTGCAGAACATAGGGTGCAGAACATAGGGTGCAGAACATAGGGTGCAGAACATAGGGTGCAGAACATAGGGTGCAGAACATAGGGTGCAGAACATAGGGTGCAGAACATAGGGTGCAGAACATAGGGTGCAGAACATAGGGTGCAGAACATAGGGTGCAGAACATAGGGTGCAGAACATAGGGTGCAGAACATAGGGTGCAGAACATAGGTGCAGAACATAGGGTGCAGAACATAGGGTGCAGAACATAGGGTGCAGAACATAGGGTGCAGAACATAGGGTGCAGAACATAGGGTGCAGAACATAGGGTGCAGAACATAGGGTGCAGAACATAGGGTGCAGAACATAGGGTGCAGAACATAGGGTGCAGAACATAGGGTGCAGAACATAGGGTGCAGAACATAGGGTGCAGACATAGGGAACATAGGGTGCAGAACATAGGGTGCAGAACATAGGGTGCAGATCATAGGGCGCAGAACATAGGGTGCAGAACATAGGGTGCAGAACATAGGGTGCAGAACATAGGGTGCAGAACATAGGGTGCAGATCATAGGGTGCAGATCATAGGGTGCAGAACATAGGGTGCAGAACATAGGGTGCAGAACATAGGGTGCAGAACATAGGGTGCAGAACATAGGGTGCAGAACATAGGGTGCAGAACATAGGGTGCAGATCATAGGGCGCAGAACATAGGGTGCAGAACATAGGGTGCAGAACATAGGGTGCAGAACATAGGGTGCAGATCATAGGGTGCAGAACATAGGGTGCAGAACATAGGGTGCAGAACATAGGGTGCAGAACATAGGGTGCAGAACCAATAGGGTGCAGATCATAGGGCGCAGAACATAGGGTGCAGAACATAGGGTGCAGAACATAGGGTGCAGAACATAGGGTGCAGAACATAGGGTGCAGATCATAGGGTGCAGAACATAGGGTGCAGAACATAGGGTGCAGAACATAGGGTGCAGAACATAGGGTGCAGAACATAGGGTGCAGAACATAGGGTGCAGAACATAGGGTGCAGAACATAGGGTGCAGAACATAGGGTGCAGAACATAGGGTGCAGAACATAGGGAGCAGAACATAGGGAGCAGAACATAGGGCGCAGAACATAGGGCGCAGAACATAGGGCGCAGATCATAGGGCGCAGAACATAGGGCGCAGAACATAGGGCGCAGAACATAGGGCGCAGAACATAGGGCGCAGAACATAGGGCGCAGAACATAGGGTGCAGAACATAGGGTGCAGATCATAGGGTGCAGATCATAGGGTGCAGAACATAGGGTGCAGAACATAGGGTGCAGAACATAGGGTGCAGAACATAGGGTGCAGAACATAGGGTGCAGAACATAGGGTGCAGAACATAGGGTGCAGATCATAGGGCGCAGAACATAGGGTGCAGAACATAGGGTGCAGAACATAGGGTGCAGAACATAGGGTGCAGAACATAGGGCGCAGATCATAGGGCGCAGAACATAGGGCGCAGAACATAGGGCGCAGAACATAGGGCGCAGAACATAGGGCGCAGAACATAGGGCGCAGAACATAGGGCGCAGAACATAGGGCGCAGAACATAGGGCGCAGAACATAGGGCGCAGAACATAGGGCGCAGAACATAGGGCGCAGAACATAGGGCGCAGAACATAGGGCGCAGAACATAGGGCGCAGAACATAGGGCGCAGAACATAGGGCGCAGAACATAGGGCGCAGAACATAGGGCGCAGATCATAGGGCGCAGAACATAGGGCGCAGAACATAGGGCGCAGAACATAGGGTGCAGAACATAGGTGCAGAACATAGGGTGCAGAACATAGGGTGCAGAACATAGGGTGCAGATCATAGGGCGCAGAACATAGGGTGCAGAACATAGGGCGCAGATCATAGGGCGCAGAACATAGGGCGCAGAACATAGGGCGCAGAACATAGGGCGCAGAACATAGGGCGCAGAACATAGGGCGCAGAACATAGGGCGCAGATCATAGGGCGCAGAACATAGGGCGCAGAACATAGGGCGCAGAACATAGGGCGCAGAACATAGGGCGCAGAACATAGGGCGCAGAACATAGGGCGCAGAACATAGGGCGCAGAACATAGGGCGCAGAACATAGGGCGCAGAACATAGGGTGCAGAACATAGGGTGCAGAACATAGGGTGCAGAACATAGGGTGCAGATCATAGGGTGCAGATCATAGGGTGCAGAACATAGGGTGCAGAACATAGGGTGCAGAACATAGGGTGCAGAACATAGGGTGCAGAACATAGGGTGCAGAACATAGGGTGCAGAACATAGGGTGCAGATCATAGGGCGCAGAACATAGGGTGCAGAACATAGGGCGCAGAACATAGGGCGCAGAACATAGGGTGCAGAACATAGGGTGCAGAACATAGGGTGCAGAACATAGGGTGCAGATCATAGGGTGCAGAACATAGGGTGCAGAACATAGGGTGCAGAACATAGGGTGCAGAACATAGGGTGCAGAACATAGGGTGCAGAACATAGGGCGCAGATCATAGGGCGCAGAACATAGGGCGCAGAACATAGGGCGCAGAACATAGGGCGCAGAACATAGGGCGCAGAACATAGGGCGCAGAACATAGGGCGCAGAACATAGGGCGCAGAACATAGGGCGCAGAACATAGGGCGCAGAACATAGGGCGCAGAACATAGGGCGCAGAACATAGGGCGCAGAACATAGGGCGCAGAACATAGGGCGCAGAACATAGGGCGCAGAACATAGGGCGCAGAACATAGGGCGCAGAACATAGGGCGCAGATCATAGGGCGCAGAACATAGGGCGCAGAACATAGGGCGCAGAACATAGGGCGCAGAACATAGGGCGCAGAACATAGGGTGCAGAACATAGGGTGCAGAACATAGGGTGCAGATCATAGGGTGCAGATCATAGGGCGCAGAACATAGGGTGCAGAACATAGGGCGCAGATCATAGGGCGCAGAACATAGGGCGCAGAACATAGGGCGCAGAACATAGGGCGCAGAACATAGGGCGCAGAACATAGGGCGCAGAACATAGGGCGCAGATCATAGGGCGCAGAACATAGGGCGCAGAACATAGGGCGCAGAACATAGGGCGCAGAACATAGGGCGCAGAACATAGGGTGCAGAACATAGGGTGCAGAACATAGGGTGCAGAACATAGGGTGCAGAACATAGGGTGCAGATCATAGGGCGCAGAACATAGGGTGCAGAACATAGGGCGCAGATCATAGGGCGCAGAACATAGGGCGCAGAACATAGGGCGCAGAACATAGGGCGCAGATCATAGGGCAGAACATAGGGCGCAGAACATAGGGCGCAGAACATAGGGCGCAGAACATAGGGCGCAGAACATAGGGCGCAGAACATAGGGCGCAGAACATAGGGCGCAGAACATAGGGCGCAGAACATAGGGCGCAGAACATAGGGTGCAGAACATAGGGTGCAGATCATAGGGCGCAGAACATAGGGCGCAGATCATAGGGCGCAGAACATAGGGCGCAGATCATAGGGCGCAGAACATAGGGCGCAGATCATAGGGCGCAGAACATAGGGCGCAGATCATAGGGCGCAGAACATAGGGCGCAGAACATAGGGCGCAGAACATAGGGCGCAGAACATAGGGCGCAGAACATAGGGCGCAGAACATAGGGCGCAGAACATAGGGCGCAGAACATAGGGCGCAGAACATAGGGCGCAGAACATAGGGCGCAGAACATAGGGCGCAGAACATAGGGCGCAGAACATAGGGCGCAGAACATAGGGCGCAGAACATAGGGCGCAGAACATAGGGCGCAGAACATAGGGCGCAGAACATAGGGCGCAGACATAGGGCGCAGATCATAGGGCGCAGAACATAGGGCGCAGAACATAGGGCGCAGAACATAGGGCGCAGAACATAGGGCGCAGAACATAGGGCGCAGATCATAGGGCGCAGAACATAGGGCGCAGAACATAGGGCGCAGAACATAGGGCGCAGAACATAGGGCGCAGAACATAGGGCGCAGAACATAGGGCGCAGAACATAGGGCGCAGAACATAGGGCGCAGAACATAGGGTGCAGAACATAGGGTGCAGATCATAGGGCGCAGAACATAGGGCGCAGATCATAGGGCGCAGAACATAGGGCGCAGATCATAGGGCGCAGAACATAGGGCGCAGAACATAGGGCGCAGAACATAGGGCGCAGAACATAGGGCGCAGAACATAGGGCGCAGAACATAGGGCGCAGAACATAGGGCGCAGATCATAGGGCGCAGAACATAGGGCGCAGATCATAGGGCGCAGATCATAGGGCGCAGATCATAGGGCGCAGATCATAGGGCGCAGAGCGCAAGGCGCAGAGCGCAGGGCGCAGAGCGCAGGGCGCAGAGTGCAGGGGGCAGAGCGCAGGGCGCAGAGCGTAGGGGGCAGAGCGCAGGGGGCAGAGCGCAGGGCGCAGAGCGCAGGGGGCAGAGCGCAGGGCGCAGAGCGTAGGGGGCAGAGCGCAGGGCGCAGAGCGCAGGGGGCAGAGCGCAGGGCGCAGAGCGCAGGGGGCAGAGCGCAGAGCGCACGGGGCAGAGCGCACGGGGCAGAGCGCAGAGTGCAGGGGCGCGGAGCACGTGTACCTGTCCTGGCGTGGTGGTGCCTCGTTCCAGCGCCCTCTCCGCGCCCGCTCTTCCCTGCACGTCCAGCACCATTTCCCCCACCTCCACGGGCGCGCCCAACCCCGCGAAAACAGAGCAAGGCGCGGGAGAAACCGCGGTGGGGGGAACGGCGAGCGGATGCGCGGCGAGGCGAGCGGCGCGGCGAGGCGAGCGGAGGCGCGACGAAGGGAGGCTTCCAGAAACGAGGGGAGGCGTGATGATGAGGGGAGGCGCGGCGAGGGGAGGCGCGACGACAGGAGGCGAGGCACGAGATGATGCGCGACGAAAGGATGGGTGGCGCGACGGGAGGTGGCGCGATGGGCGGAGGAACGCGACTATGGGGACGATTGGAGGAGCTCGAGGGAAGGGAGGCGCGTTCTATGAGCCACTCAGGGAGGTGCGTGGGCAGGCATGGTGAAGTGGCTTCACTCACCTTCTCCGACCACAGTGACTTTGTGTATGCGCTTGTAGAGTCCCTATATCCTGCGTAATTTATGTTGCGCTGCGCTACCTGAGTAGGTGGAGTAGTTAGCTTGATTGAAGTAGTAGATTGATCGTGGTGTTTTTTCTCCTCACTCGTTCTGAGGTTGTTGGAGCTTCCCGTCTTCGTTTATGCTAGTCGTTGCATCATGCGTGGACATTCTCCACTACGTAAACCTGATTGGCTGAACCGTGCGACACTCCTTCCAGTCGCCCGACACTGTTCTGCAAATTCGTCAAAGCTGCACAGTATCGTTTACCATCGCTTCACGTTTGGCGAGACCCCTTTTCCCCTCGTCAGTCAATCCCTTTTTCGCTACACTGACTTTGCCGAAATTCTTGTTGTCAAGGTTTCGCTAACACTATTTCAAAACCACATAACTTGAAAAATTACCATGCTGACCCCGGGCTTTAAAGCTCCAGTATACATTTGTCAGCAGGGTTTAGGGTTTGTATAGTGTGCCTCACAGTCTTGGGGCAACTTTTCAAGTTCCTAAAGATTTTGAACCCCTCCTTTGAAATGTATACCGGAGCTTTAAAGCCCGAGTATAGAATGGCAACTTTTCAAGTTCAAGATTCTTGAACTTGAATTCGCCTCCCCTCCCGTCTCCTTTTAGGTGGCTCTCCCTTCCCGCGTCCGTCGCCCACGCTTACTCTGAGTGTTTCCCACGCTCTCCCATCATGTCGCAGGCCTTCACATGACCATCGCTTGCCCATTCCGTCGCTTTCCCAACACCTTTCAAGTTCAGTATTCTTGAAGCCTTACCATTCTAGACTCGGGCTTTAAATAGCCATGCTATACAAGCATTCGATTATGTTAATGCATGAAAAATACATAGTGCTAGTGTAACTACCATTCCAGTAAAAAAATCTCCAGATCACAACTAGTGTCACAAGATTCGACGTTAACGTCGGAAGGGTTGCGTAGAGGTATATTCCTATCGTTTGCAAAGAGAGATGTATAAAATATGCATCTTAAACAGAAATGTTCAGGTGTCTATAGTGGGTTGTATTTCACGATGATGACCTGTTCTGCTTGTGACTCAAATATGTCAGCCAGGTTTTTGTTTCACGTGGTTCACCGGATGTTGTCACGTGACACTACCTTCCAAGCTGTTTTACTTTTTTGCTGGATGGAAAGTGCCCATGCGTTGCTTTTTGTTACGATTCAATTCACATGATCGGATGTTGTTCTGAAGCACTGTATAGCCTTTGGTGCCTCTCTGTGCCCCAGCGAAAGTTTTGTTCACCACCCGCAGAACAACACCCCCTCTTTCTCGCCTCCCTGTTCGTCCTTCCCTTCTCGAATTTGCATTGCGACTCTCAACTGAGTTGCTCCTACTCCAGAGTCTCTCGAATGAGAGACTCTTCTTGCCTTTTCCTCCCAAACCCACAGTCGCCTCTCCCTCCTATCCCACCGTCGCCTCTCCTTCCCAACCCGCCGTCACCTCTCCCTCCTCCCCGCCGTCGCTTATCCCTCCTCCCCGCCATCGCCTCTCCCTCGTCCCCGCCGTCGCCTCTCCCTCCTCCCCGCCATCACCTCTCCCTCCTCCCCGCCGCCGCCTCTCCCTCCTCCGCGCCGTCGCGTATCCCTCCTCCCCGCCGCCGCCTCTCCCTCCTCCCCGCCGTCGCCTCTCTCTCCTCCCCGCCGTCGCCTCTCCCTCGTCCCCTCCGCCGCCTCTCCCTCCTCCCGCCGCCGCCTCTCCCTCCTCCCGCCGCCGCCTCTCCCTCCTCCCCGCCGTCGCCTCTCCCTCCTCCCCGCCGTCGCCTCTCCCTCCTCCCCACCGTCGCTTCTCCCTCCTCCCTGCCGTCGCCTCTCCCTCCTCCCCGCTCTCGCCTCCGGCGACAGGTGGCCGGAGCGCAAGCGCGAGTTGGAGCGCGAGCACGAGTTGGTGCGCGAGCGCGGGTTGGTGCGCCAGCGCGGGTTGTTTTCTGAGGCACCGTGGTTATCAGGTGCGGTGCCGGTCCTTTCATCCTCCATCCCCCCGCTAAAATTTCCTTTATTTTCTGCTCTCGTCGTAAATTTTATGTGTCAATTGGTCTCCTCTTGCATTGCACTTTCATTTGAGGAAGGGGAGAGACTCAGGGCGAGGGAGAGCGTGCGCGCGGGAGCGAACGCGCAAGAGAGAGAGCGTGAGAGAGAGCGTGAGAGAGCGCGTGAGAGAGAGCGTGAGAGAGCGCGCGTGAGAGTGCGCGTGAGAGTGCGCGTGAGAATGCGCACGTGAGGGAGTGCGCACGTGAGGGAGTGCGCGAGAGTGCGCGCGTGAGAGTGCGCGTGAGAGTGCGCGCGAGAGTGGGCGTGAGAGGCCGCGTGAGAGGGCGTGTGAGAGGGTATTTGAGAGAGAGCGTGAAAGAGCGCGTGAGAGTGCGCTCGTGAGAGAGCGCGTGAGAGAGAGCGTGAGGGAGCGCGTGAGGGAGCGCGTGAGAGTGCAGTGCTCGTGAGAGTGCGCGTGAGAGTGCGCGAGAGTGCGCGCGTGAGAGTGCGCGTGAGAGTGCTTGTGAGAGTGCGGGTGAGAGGCCGCGTTAGAGGCCGTGTGAGAGGCCGCGTGAGAGGGCATGTGAGAGGGCATGAGAGAGAGCGTGTGAGAGAGCGCGTGAGAGAGCGCGTTAGAGTGCGCACGAGAGTGCGCGTGAGAGAGCGCGTGAGAGTGCGCGCGTGAGAGTGCGCGTGAGAGAGCGCGTGAGGGAGCGCGTGAGGGTGCGTGTGAGAGAGATCGTGAGGGAGCGCGTGAGGGAGCGCGTGAGGGAGCGCGTGATAGTGCGCGTGAGAGAGCGCGTGAAAGGGCACGTGAGAGTGCGCGTGAGGTAGCGCGTGAGAGTGCGCGTGAGAGAGTGCGTGAAAGTGCGCGTGATAGTGTGCGTGAGAGAGAGCGTGAGAGAGCGCGTGAGAGAGCGCGTGAGAGAGCGCGTGAGTGTGCGCGTGAGAGAGCGCTTGAGTGTGTGCGTGAGAGAGCGCGTGAGTGTGCGCGTGAAGGTGCGCATGAGTGTGCGCGTGAGAGTGGCGTGACTGTGCGCGTGAAGGGGCGCGTGAGTGTGCGCGTGAGATTGGCGTGGGAGTGCGCGTGGGAGTGCGCGTGAGAGTGCCCGTGGGAGACGCGTGGGAGAGCGCGTTAGTGAGCGCGTGAGGGTGCGCGTGAGGGTGCGCGTGAGAGTGCGCGTGAGAGTGCGTGAGAGTGCGCGTGAGAGTGCGCGCGAGAGTGGGCGTGAGAGGCCGCATGAGAGGGCGTGTGAGAGGGTATTTGAGAGAGAGCGTGAAAGAGCGCGTGAGAGTGCGTTCGTGAGAGAGCGCATGAGAGAGAGCGTGAGGGAGCGCGTGAGGGAGCGCGTGAGAGTGCAGTGCTCGTGAGAGTGCGCGTGAGAGTGCGCGAGAGTGCGCGCGTGAGAGTGCGCGTGAGAGTGCTTGTGAGAGTGCGGGTGAGAGGCCGCGTTAGAGGCCGTGTGAGAGGCCGCGTGAGAGGGCATGTGAGAGGGCATGAGAGAGAGCGTGTGAGAGAGCGCGTGAGAGAGCGCGTTAGAGTGCGCACGAGAGTGCGCGTGAGAGAGCGCGTGAGAGTGCGCGCGTGAGAGTGCGCGTGAGAGAGCGCGTGAGGGAGCGCGTGAGGGTGCGTGTGAGAGAGATCGTGAGGGAGCGCGTGAGGGAGCGCGTGAGGGAGCGCGTGATAGTGCGCGTGAGAGAGCGCGTGAAAGGGCACGTGAGAGTGCGCGTGAGGTAGCGCGTGAGAGTGCGCGTGAGAGAGTGCGTGAAAGTGCGCGTGATAGTGTGCGTGAGAGAGAGCGTGAGAGAGCGCGTGAGAGAGCGCGTGAGAGAGCGCGTGAGTGTGCGCGTGAGAGAGCGCTTGAGTGTGTGCGTGAGAGAGCGCGTGAGTGTGCGCGTGAAGGTGCGCGTGAGTGTGCGCGTGAGAGTGGCGTGACTGTGCGCGTGAAGGGGCGCGTGAGTGTGCGCGTGAGATTGGCGTGAGTGTGCACGTGGGAGTGCGCGTGGGAGTGCGCGTGAGAGTGCCCGTGGGAGACGCGTGGGAGAGCGCGTTAGTGAGCGCGTGAGGGTGCGCGTGAGGGTGCGCGTGAGAGTGCGCGTGAGAGTGCGTGAGAGTGCGCGTGAGAGATAGCGTGAGAGAGCGCGTGACAGGGCGCGTGAGAGTGCGCGTGAGAGTGTGCGTGAGAGTGCGCGTGAGAGTGCGCGTGGGAGTGCGCGTGAGAGTGCGCGTGGGAGTGCGCGTGGGAGACGCGTGGGAGAGCGCGTTAGTGAGCGCGTGAGGGTGCGCGTGAGGGTGCGCGTGAGAGTGCGCGTGAGAGTGCGTGAGAGTGCGCGTGAGAGAGCGCGTGAGAGAGCGCGTGAGAGAGCGCGTGAGAGTGCGCGTGAGAGTGTGCGTGGGAGTGCGCGTGGGAGTGCGTGTGGAAAACGCGTTGGAGAGCGGGTTAGAGATCGCGTGAGGGTGCGTTCGCGTGATTTCTCGTGAGAGAGCGCGTGAGAGTGCCGTGAGAGTTCGCTTGAGAGTGCGCGTGGGAGCGGCGTGTGAGAGCGCGTTTGAGAGCGCGTGGGAGTGCGCGTGGGAGAGCGCGTTAGAGAGCGCGTGAGGGTGCGCGTGAGAGAGCGCGTGAGGGTGCGCGTGAGAGAGCGCGTGAGGGTGCGCGTGAGAGAGCGCGTGAGGGTGCGCGTGAGAGAGCGCGTGAGAGGCGCGTAAGAGTGCACGTGGGAGACGTGTGAGAGTGCGCGTGAGAGAGCGCGTGAGAGAGCGTGTGAGAGAGTGTGTGAGAGCGTGTGAGAGAGCGTGTGAGAATGCGCGTGAGAGTGCGTGTGGGAGTGCGCGTGAGAGAGCGCGTGAGAGTGCACGTGAGAGAACGTGAGAGAGCGCGTGTAAGTGTTATTGTGAATGAGAACGATCATGAGTGCGAGGGTCTGTGCAAGAATGTACATGTAGAATGTATGTTTGTTTATGTGAGTGTGTCTAAAAAGGTTGAGAGTATTTCAGCGTGTGTGAGTGGGTGCGAGATTTAGTACAAGAGTGAGTGCGAACGTGAGGATGAAGCTGAACGGAGGGTGGCTGCAAGGTATTGCATCATTCCGGTGTAGTATCTGTGGTGCCATGACTGATTCCAATTTAACACTGTGAGTTGTGAAATTTCAATTGCTGTCTTTGATCTATACGTTCTTCAACACCATTTTCTATTGTTCTTATTTCGTTTCTAGTGAATGCGTGAGTTGCATTCTCTGTTTTTGTTTTCATGTGAGATGCTGTGAGGTGTACTCTCTGTTTTTGCTTTCTACGGGTGAGTTGCGTTTCCTGCTCGGCCTCTTCGCTGGGCACGTGAGTTACATTATATGTTTTAGTGCTTTTTTTTACACAGTGTGTGAACTTTCTCTGTTTTTGCCCCTTTCTTGTGCAGGGCGTGTACTTTGCATCCTCTGTTTTTGCTTTGTGCAGGACGCGTGACTTGCATTTTTTATAATTTCGGTTGGCGGGAAAGGGAGATGAGGGAGGGGGTGGGAGGGAGATGAGGGAGGGAGGGAAGGAGGGGTGTAGGGAGGGTAAAGAGGGGATAGGCTAGCGATGATTTATGAAGGGTAACTGAACTCCATTCGTGATGGTTGCATGTTTTTCAACGGTATTTGTATGTATCTGTGCTTGTTTGCATGTATGCCTGTGTGTGCGTGTGTGTCAGTGTCTGACTCTTTGTTATGCTTGTTTGCTCTCTTATTGTGTGCCAGTGCATGTGTGTGTGTGTGGGGGGGGGGGGGGGGGGGGGGGGGTGTGTGCTTGTGTCTGTGTCAGTTGGTTGCGATTACTTCAAGGTGTGGTGCTGGTATGCATCGTGTTTGCAGTTGAGGTTGTCATCGCCGTTGGGGCAGTGTGTTTCACTGTGTCAACGACCCCATCAATCTCAGCTGCAGAATTGTTGCATATTGAGCATCCATTTTGATGTCTTCGCAACTTTTTCGTGATGTGCGTTTCGTGTTTGTGAGATGTGTGTGTTTCAGGGTGTTACGATATGAAATTACATGAGTAGGCATTCCTGTATGCTGCAGGAGCCGACTCTACCGAGTACGAAGTCGAGGAGTCAGAAGAGTCGAAGCGACGCAGCAACCGTCTGACCAAGACCGATGCAGGCAGAAACATTTGAAGTGAAAAGAGCGGGAACCGGTTTTGAAACGGGTTCCCGCGCCGCATGGTTCGAAATTGGTTAGAATAAGGAAATGTACCCCTTAGAGTACATGGCTAGTCTAGGTCTTTTCGTATTCCCCTGTACTCTTATATAAACCCGATGTATGCATGCTTTTATCAACTCAGTCATTTACATTCACTCTGACCTGAGATTCAAACTTCCGCTGCAACACTACTCTGCAACACTTGGGATTGTAACATGGTATGAGAGCTACTCAGGGATTCTTCGCATCATCACTTCCTTGAAATTCGCCGAACCAAGATCTGGCGAGCGGCACACGCTCCAAGACCATGATGGCCGGAGGATCCGGAGGCCAAGCTAATCTGACGGATGAAGGACAACCCAACCCGGCTGCGACAAATGAGGCGACAACTACGATCGGCAGTGCCGCACTCGAGCAGTTATTCGCTCGACTTTCAACCATGGAGAAAGAGCTCCAAGATTTGCGCAAAGGCGATGCGGGAACCTCTTCCCATCCAGCTCAACCTGGACAACCGGCAACGAAAAGCCGTGATACCGCCGCGCACACCTTCTCCCTCGACACAGACAAATCAACAACAACTGCCCCCCGTCCAAGTGATGAAGTCATTAACTCTGCGCAAGCACGCTTCCTCAGCGTTTCAAAAATCAAGACTACCACCGCCTTCGACGGCAAAGATTTCTATACATTGAGTTTTGAGCTTCAGCTCCTCCTACAGACAGCGCAGATCTACCATTACTTCGACGGCTCCTACTCTAAACCGGTGGACGACACCGACGACGCCAGGGCTCAGTACTACAGCGAGTCCCTCATGGCGTATAGCGTGCTGCTACGCAACATGACGCCTGCAGAGCAACTAAGCATCCGCTCCTACAAAGAGAGCGCCGCTCCAGCCTTGGAAGCCTGGAAGCACCTCATTGAGGTATATCAGCCGAAGGATTCGGTTACAGCCAGCAGGCTCCTGCAGCAACTCATGGAGACAAAGATGGGGCATGGGGAGAAAGCGAATTCTTATATTAACCGCTGTCGCAACATCCGTGACTAGATCACGAAGTATGGGAGCGCAATCTCGGAAGAGATCTTCGTCAATATAGTCCTTCAAGGACTCGGGCCAGAGTGGAAGCCCTGCAAAGCGCTACTCCGACAGCGAGGAATCATCTCTGAAGCCGCGCTATGCGCCGCACTCCTGACTGAACAGCAGGACATGGATTCGAGCAGAACAAGCTCAGCGCCGCGCCGAGAGCGCCTCGCCTTCTACGCTGACAACCGTGAAGAGCGACGACAACCAAGGCGCCACTATTGCAAAATATGCAAAGTCTTCGGACATTCAACGGATCGATGCAAGTCTCGATCCAACTATCGCCACCCAAATTCCACTCACCACAACAACTGGGTCGGCCGACAAGATGCTCGTCATCCTCAGTCTCAGCATCAGACACCTCGTCCTCCTGCGCAAAACCATCATCAGCAAACTCAAGGATCTCAATCAGGAGCTCCTAGGAACATCATCGCGAATATGACGACGCGCCGACGTCGCACTGCTGAACCTGACGAAGAAGATGAAATTCAAGGGAGACTCCTTGAACCAGAAGAAGGGTGGAATAATCCCCTCACTGAAGATCACTATTACCGGTATGACGAAGACGAGCAAGATTGGAACCTGCCAATCACCTTGCGGGAAAGCCCGCCGCATGACAATCAACACTACGTACCGGTGGGATGGAAGGAGGACGAAGACCCTCTCTTCCACAGACGCTACAAGGCGACCCTGGTGACTCCGCGACTGGCGCTACTTCTGCGCAGAAACAACACTGACAACCACAACACCTGGTACCTGGACAGCTGCTGCGGACAGCACATGGTGGGATCCACGCGATATGTCTCGAACCTGAGCCGCGCCCCCCCAACTTACGTCACCGTCGCCAACAACGAGCAGCTGCGCGCCAATGCGCAAGGCATCGTGGTCCTGCAAGCACGTGACAGCAACACGCACATTTCGTTCAACGACGTACTCTACGTCCCAAACCTTCGTTTCAATCTTCTCTCGGCAGGACAACTTCGCGACTGCGGCGTCA